TCCTTTTTTCCTATGTATTGAGTATGTATAGTTGATCATCAGAGTTTTTTCTTGGTGGTGTCTTTAAAAGAAGATAATTACAATATCTTTTCTTCTCAGTATAAAGACCTGTTGTTCATCTTCACTGTATTTGAGACTCTGGATATGAGTGATTTTTCCATTGAAATATGGACATTTTATATTCTGTTACAAATCTATGGGTCTCATTTCAGTCTCCATATGTGTTTGTGTATTTGTATGTCCATGTATACAAGATCATGTAGGGGTACACTGTGTGTGTGTGTGTGTGTGTGTGTGTGTGTGTGTGTGTATGAAGGTCAGAGGATACTGTCTACATTTCTGAGACAGTCCTGGGACTCACCTGCCAGTCCAGGGATCCACCTGTCTCCACTTCCTCAGTGCTGAGATTACAAACGTACACACACCACCATGCCTGCTTTTTTAACATGGGTTCTGGGATTGAACTCGATCCTCACGTTTGCAAGGCCACCACTTGACTGACTGAGCTGTCCCCCCAGCCCTTGACCTTTCTGTTTTAGCTAATTTTCCTTGATTCTCTTTCAGTTGAAGAAGGATGGGGTGGGGACAGAAGGTGGGTTTCTCTTTCATCCTTCATTGACACCTCAGGCAGAAGTTCCTAGATACTGCTAGGGGAGTGGAGATTTCGGCCACCCAGTGGGTTCCACTGATGCCCTGGTATAGTTGCCTCGTTACCACTGGGTCAGATGAAATATGACTCTATCAGGCCTCCAACGTCCTATTGAGATGGTAGAAGTATGTCATTGTGGCTGAGTGAGAGGGCTGATTACTAGCCATTTGAGTTCTGTGGGACCCTCCTTGGCCTTCTTTGGATAATGGGGACTAGGGCAGTTTACCACTGCAGCCATGCGGCCATGATCTGCCCTATCCTTGTGAGAATAGGAGTATATATAGCCTCCCCACATAGCCTTTGTTGGCACTGCTGAGCTCAGCTACAGGAAAGAAGTCACTGTCTAAAGGGTTCTGTCTGCATCTTTCCCGATCCTTTGGAGAGAAAGAGGTTTTTGTTCAGGTTTTTCTTGTGGGGTTTGGTGGTGGTGGTGCTGGTGGTGGTGCTGGTGGTGGTGCAGTGTTGGTCTTTGCATCAGTTGACATTCTCAGAGTTGCCATTGATTCCACTTCAAGCCTTGTATATAATTCAAGGAGCATGCCCTGATGCTGTGACTCAGCCCCTTCCGGGATCCTTTTACTTTTCAGCCATCTTCTATTTGCTTACATGTCATGCCCAAAGATTTTATTATATTTAATGATGAGATGAGTAAAAATAAATGTAGTCCACCTACCAGAAAGCAAAAGTCCAACTAGCTTACCTTTTGAAGTTTATCTTATACTAAAAAGAAAAAGGACATGTCAGCATACATGGTGGGGAGAGACACTGGGAGAACTGGGTTGTTGCATTACAATATTACCAGAAGTAGCTTATTGAAATGCAAGGCAATCCCTTAAAAGATGTCACTGTGTGCTCTCTGTGGGTAATTCTGGATGGCTGAACCTGCTTCTGAACATTTTTAGAATTCTTTTGGACAAGTTTAGAGCACAAATCAGATACTTTTGAGTGTTCTAACTGGGGTGAGTTGTCATCCTTTGAAACCCTGTTTGACTCCTGGAAGCCAACCCTAGAGTTCAGGAGCTAAGGTAGATAGTGAGACGCACGGCCAAACTGGGTAATGCAGTATATATCCCAGCTCCGTGCTGGGGTCTAAAACATTGTGAACCAAACCATCTTGGCTATAAAAGAGACATTTCTTTCATATCATTCAAAATCTCCAAACACCTAACAATTCCCCATAATAAGTCCTATTGGCTGTGGGATGCATTTTGTGTGAAAAATATCATTTGGCATCAAATCAATATTCGTTTCTTTGGCTTTGGCACAAACATTTTCTTGGGCCCTGTGGATATTGGAGGGTTTTTACCCTTGTAAAATCTGACAGCTTGTCTTTTTGGGCCAACTTGAAAAATACCGTCTCTGTTCTCCTCAAATACATGTTTTGTGCAGGCTACCCTTGAGAGCTCCAAACAAATGTCAAGTCATCTATTTCTCTTTGTCATTTCAAACCTATCAAGCAGTCTTTACAGAAGTCTTGTGTGGGCATTCCCCGTCAGTGAGATGCAGCGAGTGCATGGTGAACCCTTGGCTTGAGCAAACCCAGCCTCTGACGAGCTCCATGTTTCCATGAGTGCTTTGTACTGCATTGAACACATTTTTGTCACCTTCCGGAAGTCCTGGTGCCATTCACAAGGTCCTGTCCTGGACCTGTGTTCCCTCCGGGTGCCGTCCCGGACCTTGTAGTGTTCCCTCCGGGCGCTGTCCTGGACCTTGTACTGTTCCCTCCGGGTGCCGTCCTGGACTTTGTATTGTTCCTGTCCTGGACCTTGTGGTGTTCCCTCCAGGTGCCGTCCTGGACCTTGTAGTGTTCCTGTCCTGGACCTCCAGGTGTCTTGTCATTTGTTTGCTTTACTTCACACACTTTGGTGTCATTCTTTGCCCTCTGTGACTGTCACTCAACCACATTCTTCACAGCCCACGTAGTGGAAGATCTGCTCCTGAGGCCACAGACAGAATCACTCTGCAGCCTGCTCCTCCCTGCACACATCCTCAAACAGGAGCTTTATGAACTCATAGTAAGGGAAAGGCTGCTAAATGCAAAACCATCTTCCTGTTTGCTCCCAGTAAGCTTGACACCCAAGCAAAGCAGTCCTAGGCCTGATTCACTGAGTGGGAATTCAAGAGCTGCTGAAGAGCTGAGTAATGAGGCCTAGCCCTCCGACTCCAGTACTCCCCAGCCTGGCCTCAAGGCTCCTCTGCATGGTCCCCTTTCTGTTCTCAGTTGAGCTGTCACAGGAGGGGCTGGTTTGGAGAAAGAGGTTTGTAGTATAAAACTTTGTCTGAAAGGACAGCCTCAGACAGTTTGCCAAGTGCTGCTCCTGCCCATTCCTGTTATGCTAATGTTTCCCATCTTTAATTTCCTCTTCTGCAACATTGGACAATAATCCTCATCACCTTAATGTTGCTGTGAAGACTAAAATGGCTAACGTGTACAATACATAGGACATGGTTCAGCACCACATGTTGGATGATAGCTATTATTCATTGAATGCATTTACTATGTCACTCTCTGAGAATAGTAAGATATGGTTTTGCCATCTAAAATATAAAACCAGGGGCTAGAGAGATGGCTCAGTAAAGTGCCTGCCACACAGGCACTAACTTCAGGTCTCTAGTACCCCAATAAGAAACAGGACATGGTGGCTAGCATCTGTAACTGCAGCTCTGGGGAAGTGAAGGCAAGAAGATCTCTGGAGCTTAATGTCCAGCAAGTCTAGCTAAATCAGTGAGCTCCAGGCTCAGTAAGAGAGACAAAGTAAGGAAGACACTCAGTGTCAGCCTCTGGATTCCACATTGACACACATGTACATGTGCACCTGCATACGGGTGAATACACATGTGAACACTGACATATACCACACACAATATAATACAAATATCTATATAATCCTGAGTTCAAATTGACCCATCAGAGGAAAATTGCAACCAGAAAAACATGTCTAAATGTTGTTAGAGTTCTGTGAAATAGAGAAACACGTTATCAGTCTTAGATATACACTTTCTTCAAATTAATCAGCAAAGTAGCTCTTAAGTAGTCATTATTGATTTTCTCATGCTGATTATATATTAAGGGATCGAGGCTACCAAATACTTTAGCAGTGGAGGTGGGAAGCAGGTAGAAAAGCGGAAATCAACTGACTGCCCAGAGCTTGCCCCCATCAGCCTGCCTTGACCCCCAGTTCCTCTGACCTCAGATCGTTCTGACTTGTAACTGAGCCTGCCACTCAGGTCATTCAGGAACCAACAAGTTCTGAGTATTACAGTAGCTACTTTCTACCAAACAAGAGACTGGGAAGTCCATGGCAGAGGCAAAGAGCTAAACTTGCCATAAGGAAAGCCTGACCAGAAAGACGTTCAGAATTCTAGACTGGTAGAACGGTCAAAGCACTTCCTGAAGGGTTCCTAGAAGACAGAATGTTAGTGGAACAGGCATGGCATCCTCGAGCTTCTGCAGCTGTGCTCCTGTGTTCATTCTGTGGTCAGCACTGCATCAGTAATTGCTGCACGTTGTGCCGGTGTGGACTAAAACCTGAGGTTCTCCCTTGACTGAATGTCTTCAATGTTCGTGAAATTAGAAAATTGTGCATAACATCGAGACAGCCAGATGAGCATCCACAGTGTAATCAGTGCTGTTTGCTTTGCCCCACATATGGCCAAGTAATAACTTTGGGTATTTTCTTCTTAACCTACCTTCTGTTTGGAATCCAAGAGTATATCTTCCCTCTAAACAATTTCTATTTTCACTGTGATTTCTTTGTTTTTTAAGTTGTTCTTCAAGAACTTTAAAACAAATGTGCATAGTTCATTATAATGAAGTCCCGATATCCTAGGACTCCGCAGACTGCAGCAGCTCACTGGAATTGACCACACGATTGATTTCTAATATAACTTTGATGTTACAAAACCATCTCGGTTGATAATGTGACAGATTAGTGAACATACATCGTCCTCTACTGAACATGCTCACTACGCACCTGTGTCATCAGACAAGCAATTCTGTTGTTTTCCTTAGAAAACAGGGTTAACATTCCCCTGATGCTAGACAGATTACACATTGAGGTTATTTTCAACATAAAATACTGGGTAGAGAGCCCCTTATTTTTAAGTTGTGACCTTTTTCTCTTCTTGAGATTCTTCAGATGAATTTTGGTCCCTTAAAATCAGGGTTAAAATAATCTTGGCAAGCCTACAGGTGACTGCCCCAGGGTCAACATTTCCACCAGCCCCAGTAGGCAGACCGTGCTGAGAGCCCCACAGCTCCCTCTCCCTGCAGGGTGGTCACCTGTACTTTCTGCTTCGGTCACAGCCCTGCAGCCCAGGAACCTTGGCCTGATGGTTTTGTTCTCCACAGGCAGGCAGCCACATTCAGACCCTGATGGGGTCGCAGAGCCTTCAGCACCGTAGCAGGGAGCAGCAGCCATACGAGGGGAACATCAACAAAGTGACTATCCAGCAATTTCAGTCGCCGTTACCCATTCAGATCCCCTCGTCACAGGCCACCCGGGGGCCTCAGCCTGGACGGTGCTTAATTCAAACGAAAGGGCAGAGAAGTATGGACGGATATCCCGAGCAGGTGAGGACCACTCTCGTAATAATGGAAGTTATATCCCAGCTGTGTGATGGTTGGGCATGCTGGATGCCTTGTGCTGAGTGAGGTGGAACACCTCCCCGTGCTGCTTTCTGTTTTCCATGGTTGGGATGATGACATGAACGCACATGGTCGGGTAATGATGTAGTACGTTGGTAAAATGCCCTTTTCCAGGAGGGAGCCGTGCTGGCTTTTCAGGCCTGCCCCTTCTCCTCAGTTCCCGCCCCAGTTCCTCAGCACAGGTCCAAGTGCTGTAAAGAACCTCTGTGGATTAGTATATTCACTTCAGGCCCCTGGTGTAACTGAGGGTGTAAAAGGTGAACCGTTATCTTCCTACACCCATTTGAAGAAAAACATTTTAATTCCTGTCTTCTGGTTGTTGAACAGTACAGAGTATAGGACCTTCTGAAGGGCTGTTGGAAGAGAAATATTTTTGAATTGCTCCAAACGCTGCTGGTTAATAATGTCTCATAGCAAAGGAACCATGGCAATGAATGGTGTTCTCCCTCCCTGCCTACAGGCAGGGTTTGCTTTCCCATGGTACAGTGTGTTTTTCTTCCTTGCGACCAGCAAACAGGTGCCATCTCATCTGTTAAAAGCTTAGAAAAGGTCATGTATTCTAACGTATAAGATTAATTTCTCACGTTTTGTCGTTTGGATTATTGGTTCAAGTTTTGTGATATTACTCACCCCTGACATGGTTTGTAAAGGTTTCAGTCCACTATGACGAATTCAAAGTTCTACATATAAACAAGCCTTTTCTTCCCAACATGCCTGCTGAAATTAACTTCTGTCGCCTCATGTTACTAAGAGCCATTTATCACTGGGGTGCCATTGGCTTCAGTCACATCCCCTTTCTTAACCCCATCCTGCATTAATCATTCTCAGAATCAAAGGTACTCTCTTCTAGATAATTCTCATTGATCCAAGTTACACACTGGATTTAATGTGTGACAAACCAGACAGGCGCTTTCAGTCAGATAATGATGTGCGGCTTCTGATTCTCCAGAGGTTCTAAACAGTTAATGATGTTTAAATGCTTTAACAAAGGCATTGTTCATATCTGACACTGCAGGAAAAAAAATAACCTCAGCCCCGTTCTCTGATTAGGCTGTTCCTGTTAGTAGTTACATGGGTTGTTTTTATTGTTTTGGTTTTTTTCTCTCCCCAAATCAATGCCCAGTTTCCACCTATTTTGCATTGTAAGGAAGATAATCTGAATACCCAGAAATGCATAAATAAAATGAGAATTGCCTGGCCAGATATGGCGGCACATGACTTTAATCCCAGCACTCAGGAGGCAAAGGCAGGGGGATCTCTGTGAGTTTGAGGCCAGCCTGGACTATATAAGTTCCACGTAAGCTGGGGCTACAGGGAGACCCTGTCTCAAAAAGATTTTTTTGAAATGAGAATTGCTAAATTTTAAATTTCACACATGAATTAAGTTTAACACGTCATGACATTACATCACAGTATCTACCGTAGCTTCTAGGTGTTTTGAGTCAAGGCTTTGATAATATCAGCTTCAGAGAGAAAGTATAAGGAGGGAAGCACTCGGGGCCACCTTAGGGTCTTAGATGCAATCCCTTTGTCTTCTTAGACCCTTTGCCTTGATCTTAGGCTGAAATGGACCAGAATGCCAAGATCAAAGCTTTGGGTGTCAGTAATACCTTCAGAGGCCTTTAAACAACTACTAGACCTGGTTCCAAAATATGCTCTCCCACCCCAATCATAAATCCCCAGAACATGAGTTAGATGTGTCTTCACGATCCGCTGTCATACGGTGCAACACTGCTGGGCACAGGTGGCTCGCTGCTGCGGCATCCCTTCCCAGCTCCACCTGAGGTGATGCCCCATCATAAAGCTGACATTGCTGGAATAAGGATACCACAGAGACCAGGAAACACCGGCAAGCAGGAAGAGTGCACCCCTGAGCAGCTGCTAGACACCCCCACACCCCACTGTCTCCATGCTGCTTCTCCCAGGCCTGGCCTTCCCTAACCTCTGCTCTTCCTCTGTGAGCACCAAGCCCAGGACTCGAGGTCTGAAGCTCTCCTTTTACTTTTGCACGTCATGCGCCTCTGGCACGTCATTGCATCCTTCCACGGTTCTGTTTCTTTTCTTAAAATGGAAACGTTACTACCTGTCAACATTGGAGGACGGAGGCATGGGGAGACTCAGTCAGAAGAGTGCTGTGCACAAGTGTGAGAACCAGAGTCCAGCCCCAGATCCCAAGTAAAAGCTGAGTGTGGTCACACACACACACACACACACACACACACACACACACCACATGCACGCACACACACCACACACACCACATGCACACACACATCACACACACACACACCACACACTCACCACACACATACACCACACACCATATGCACACACACACCCCACACACACACCACACACACACACACACACATAATCCCAGAGCTGGAGGGTAGAGGCAGACTGATCCCTGGGGCCCACTGGCCAGCCCACTAGCCTACTCCATGAGTGTCGGGCCAGTGAGAGATCCTATCTTGAAGACAAGGTGGACAGCAGCTAAAGAACAACACAGGTTAACTTCTGACCTCCACACACACAATGAAGCTCTTCTCTGAGAGTGTAGTAAAACAGAAGAAGTAGGATTACAAGATTTTGAGAATTAAAATTTTGGAAGGAAGTTAAGGATTATCAATCCCAACTTCCGTAGTCTACAGAGAGAACAAACACAGCCAAAAATGAACCACTTTCCTATTCTTTGTCACGTCATCTTCAGATGCTCTCTGCCTTCCTCCGTCCTCCCTGTCACACCGCCCTGTGTCAGATCAGCCTGGGCTACACACATGAATCTGGTCAGAAGCTTTACAGAAAGCACTCACTCCCCATCAACCTGTTCCATTCACCTGCCTGTGGCCTAGCTGATGGGGATTTTTTCAACTCCCCATGTGATTCTACTGGACAGCCAAGTTGAATGTCACTGGCCGAAGATGCTCCGTGGCCCAGCAGCTTCCCAGCTCAGTAGAACATTGGAACCCTCACTATCTAGAAGCTGCCGAGTTGACTTTTACGTTTTGGTTGTTAGCCTTAGCCTTTAATGGCTGCACTATCCCTCCAGCCCTAGTTGACTGTTTTTTAAAGAAACTCATGGGGGGCTGGAGAGATGATGGCTCAGCAGTTAAGAACACTAAGGAAACACTTATGGAAAATCGGGTTCGAATCCCAGCACCTGTGGCAGCTAACAACTGTCTGTAACTCCAGTTCCAGGGGATCGGACAGCCTCTTCTGACTTCCAAGGGTATTGCATGACACAGGTGCACTTACCTACATGCAGGCAATACACGTGTACACGTAAAATAAAAATAATAAAACAAAATTTAAAAAAAAATCACATGCCTTTAGTCCCAGAACTTGGGAGGCAGAGGCAAGCGGATCTACAAGCTTG